TTTTAAATCTTAATCCAACACATTTGGATATACAACATTTTTTGTTTTTCCATCTTGGGTATGAATAAATAAACAATTTGGAATGCCAACTCTTGAACAGGCCACGTATAGCTACTAATTCCAGTAATCTACCACAAATATTTCAAGAGATATACCAGAAGAAAATTTTTGTTAGTATGAGTGGTGCCACGCCCCATTTTCCGAATTCGGGGAAACTTAACCCAAACCATCTGCATAATAGCCCGACTATGCCGTATAAATTTGGTTGAAATCTTGCACTTATTCTTTATATATAAGATGTGAGGTACCACGCCCTCTTTTCCAATACCGCCCATTTTTATCCATGAGTATGGAATTATTTGTTATACCTCTATACCAACTTCCAGTACTCTACGACAAATATTTCAAGAGATATACAACAACAAAATTTTAGTTAGTATGGAAGGTGCCACACCCCCTTTTACGAATTCGGGCAAACTTCACATAAACCATATGCATGATAGCCTGAATATTTTTATATTTTAGTTAGTATGGGTGGTGCCACGCCCCCTCTTCCGAATTCGGGAAAACTTCGCATAAACCATCTGCATGATACATCGAATATGCCACATAAATTTGGTTGAATTCGGTGAAGCTGTTCTCAAGTTATGAGGTCACACCAAAAACGTGCACTTATTTTTATATATAAGATGTAGGTAAAAAAAATTAGCTACCATTTTTAGCCACAACAACGATTTTTAGCTCTTTTTTAGCCCTTTTTAAGCTGGAATTTAGCTACCACTAAAAATGTTTCGCGGCAACACTGAGTATGAGCTGTTATAAGCATCGTTCACTTGTGGTGGCTGTATTTGCAAGACAGCACATTTCCTTAGCCCTTAAAGTCTAATATTTGTGACATATTTTCAGGCGCAGTAAAAATCGCAATAGTGATGCGCTGAGTTTTGTGACTTTGTTAGAATAGGGGGGTTGATCACAGTTCGAAAAAGTTATTTATGCAGTGAAAACACGGCTATTCGTTTCGAATTTCGAGAAATGAAGTCGTTCATGAGGATTTCTAGATCTAACTTATCAACTGCTTTTGGATAAGAATGCAATATTGCTACATGGTTAAGCTGCAATTTGTACTTATGTATGTGTACACTTCATGTGTAGTTGGTAACTAAAGTGTGCTTTAAAAAAAAAAAAACTAAATGGTAAGTAACGAAAAATGTGTAACTCTACTTTTCACAATTTTCAGTTTGTCGCGTATTGTTTTTGAAAACTTTTTAATTATGCCTTGTATTCTACAAAAAATTATGAATAATTTGATACCTTAGCGAGCGCTGTGCTTTCAGAATAAACAATTTTTAAAAATAAAATACTCTGCGATCTTGAGCGTAATTTTTATTCCAAAAACATCTTAATTGAAGGCACATTTGGAAAATACGTCGAAACGATCTAAATCTTCTTGTAACTACTAGTCCTTATAAAGTTACATATACCTGTCAAATGCTTCAAAAAATGTTGTCTAGAAGTGTGCAAAAACCCTGATTTACTACCTTTAATGATGCTCCTTCTTGTAGTCAGAATATTTCGAGCGAGGTGTCAAATCAAATCTTTTTCGACAAAGGTTCTGATAGTTGCTTCTACTTAATTGGAGCCTTCTAAATTCAATGGCGTCCCCAGTTTTTCCCGATTGGCTCCACTTTTCGAGAAAGCGGTACTTGAAATTTTGCTTAAACTTTAACTATTTTATAAGAAACTCCCTCAGTTTGGAAGATATTTTACTACAACTTTTGCACACGATTGTATTTTAATATTATCTTCACTATCTCTTAAAATCATCGAAATCGGTTCATTATAAAATCTAGCTCCCATACAACTGATTGTTCAGAGACATTGTTTTGCGTTATAACTCCTCCAATTAAGCAGGTAAAAATTTAATATAGGTTCACTTTAACATATAGCACGCATACAATTTATTACTCAGATATGAAGTTAGAGTTATACCACAAAAACTAATATGTATGTAATCAGCTGTATTGGAGCTATGTATTTAAGTGCACCTATTTCGATCATTTTAAGGAATAATTAAGGTAATATTAAAAAACCGTTGTGTGCAAAATTTTAGTAAAATAACTTCAAAACTGAGGGATCTATTTATAACATAGTTAAAATTTAATAAACTCCCACCCGCCAGCTTATTCTTTTGTTTTCGATTTACTAAGAGATTACGAATAGAATCATATATAAAACATAGGTGTGCCCACAAATTAAAAAATTAAACTTTTTGTTTTGAAAGTGTACCTGTTTTTAAGATTTGCACATATGTGACCTGGTCTACGGAAAGAGGGCTTAGGTGTCAAAAAATCAATTTTCACTTTTTGGTTGATTCGGATGGAAGATGAGATGCTTTTTCACGTGGTGAAAAGCAGAAAATCCTAACTTGCTTAGAAGTGTACTAAAAATGTAGAGAAAGAAGAGTAAAAACGAGTAAACGAAACGAGTTGCTTACTTTTAACAGCTTTTTCACAGAAAACTAGTTTTCGCACGTAAGCTCCCTTTTCGTAGACCAGGTCACATATACCTAATTTTTTAAGTTTGTATGATCTTAATTCCAGTACTTGGTACTCAAAAATATTGTACTTAATATAAGATTTGTGTTCTTTATTTAAGTATTTTCAGTCTTAGTCCGATTTTAAGTTCGGAAATGTTAAGATCGAGTACGAAAAACTTGATTCCTTCCCTGAACATTTCCACACTCATTCACACGGTTTAACAGTTTGGTCATAAATACTTAAACAGCTGATCAAGTATCAAGCATACTTTTGCATCTATGTATGATATCGTAACATTTGAAGTGAAATAAACAAAAATAATGGATAAGCATTCTCAGTATTTTGAAAAAATCTGGGCTTAAGATCAAAAACGCGTTTTCATAGGACGCGTTTATTTCTGTTTACTCAATGAAAAGTATTTATATACATACATCCTAGCCAATGCCCGCTTACTTCGCGGCGCCTAATAATAACTTTTGCGTTGGCCAATGCAAAAGAGTGTTTAAAAGCAAAAATAGTCTGTAAAGTCAAAATATTTGGTTTAATTTGAAACCAACAAAGCGCAGTATCCTCCTCACATATGGGCCAATAATAGTAACGCTGTGATACCATATGGAATACCAATCCCTTTTGGTGTCATGAGCTTTACCGATGGTCTTATTTCCACCTGTGAGATCTCTGCTAAGCATGCGTAATATTTTTCTATGATCTTTCAACTACAACATTGGTGCGATGCGTATGCCAATAAAAGTTATTATAAGAAAACTCAAGAATCCCCGCTGTCCCACAGGATGAAAAGTTTTCCGGTACATTGGCTTAATGAGTCGTGTGATCTCTTAAACATCTTTCCTTGTTAATTCTGCGCTTTTAAGTGGTAATATTTATGAACTGTGTTCCAGGTAGATGCAAGATCGTATGATCGTTCATAAGGGCGTCAGATAAACTTAACCCCATCCGTCATTTAGACATCTGAAAACTAAATTCGTATAACTTAAACATAGGACCAAGCAGACCAACCACATGGGGTTTCTATATATTTCGGCTGCAGCGCTATCCATTGGGTCCATTTTCTGCAAAACCATTGGTTACCATAAAATGTATACGTGTTATGAACTTCAACCTCGACTCCAGCGGCACTCATCGGGTCAATTTTTATCAAAAGAGTTTTCCATCATACAGGTACATAGCTCACATTTAAAATTTTAACGAATACGTTAATAAATACGATTTTTATAAATAACTGTACTCCAGCACAACCTAGCGAGTTTTCTAGTAGCATGTAATAGGACCATATATGTATGTAAGATAACCTCCGACAATCTTACGGAACTCTATTCAGTGGGTTTTGAG